GGAGTGACGTAGGTGAATATTACGAATGAGGTACTGGTGATGTACTGCCGTAAGGGTCGCAGGAGGAGGTTCGTTAGGAGGTAGGGCGTGTCTATGACGGAAAGTGCCTGTGTGTGTGTTTGTTTGTGTGTGTGTGTTTGTCTATGTGTGTGTGTGTGTGTGTGTTTGTCTATGTGCGTGTGTGTGTGTCTGCGTTTTTGTATGTGTGTGTGTGCGTGTCTCTTGCTCATTCTCTAAATAAAAATATGAGTGTACGTCCAACAGCTTCTAATTTAAAAATAAATAGATAAATAAAATAAAATAAATAAAAATAAATAAATAAAAACAAAATAAATAAATAAAAATATGATGAGTGTACGTCCAACGGCTTCTAATTTATTTGCTTAGCAAAAATTGTATACCATATACAATGCATCTGTGTTTGTTTGCGCGTATAACTCTCTTGATATCTCCATTCAATGCAATTCAACTCACTGATCTGTTTATTTAATTTTTTCACTACGATGATAACTACAACGGCAGAGTAGCGTCGCGGTCACAGGCAGTTTTATTTTTGTTGCCCTGTTATGTGTCTCTGTCTTTCACTATTTTCTGTTCTCTTTTATTTGTACTCTATCTCTCCTTTTTTTTATCTATCTATCTATCTCAAAGTTTCTATTTGTATCTATTTATCTTTTTGTCTTTCTCTCGCTCTTCCATTCAGATATTTTCTTTTTTCTTTTTTCTCATTCTCTCTCTCCCTCTGTCTTGCATTCTTTTTTTCTCTTTATCTTGCATTCTCTCTCTCTCTTTCTCTCTCTCTATCTTGCATTCTCTCTTTCTCTCTCTCCTCTCTGTCTCGCTTTCTTTTGATATATAAAAATGATACATAGATATGCTATGTGCCTTCATGCGCGATTTTTTTTAGATAACGAGCTTACAAATACAGGCGTTCAATAATAATAATAATAATAATTATTATTATTGTTGTTATTGTTGTTGTTATTATTATTGTTGTTATTGTTAATATTGTTATTGTTGTTGTTATTGTTGCCGCTTTTTTTTGACGTACTATCCAAATATCAATAAATGAAAATTTTATAGAGAGATAATATAAATAAATCATGAAAAAAATGAGTTCATCAATAAGTGAATGAATGAATTCATCAATAAGTGATTGAATGAATGAATAATTGGTTGATTGTATGAATGAATGAATAAATGGATGAATTAATAGATGATGGAATGAATGAAAGTCTTAAATAAACAAATACAGAAATATAAAATACACACACGCATCAATACATTGTTTTATCAAAAATTTGATTAATGTCCGTCTTATTTATATCATCTAGTTCTCTCTCTCTCTCTTTTTCTCTCTCTCTCTTTCTTTCTCTCTCTCTTTCTCTTTTTTTCTTCTTCTTTTTAAAACTACACACCTACACACCTATAAATACCTTTTCTATCTTTCTCTTATTATTCTTTCTTTCTGTCTACACGTACACATTTTTTCTCTTTCAACACACACACACACACGCACAATCATATATGTATGTATCACATTCTGTATGTTGATGTGTGCTCGCAATATCAATGAAGTTATTGTTATCGATCTATTAGTAAGTGTATGCCACACGGGGTTGAGTAACATACGTAATTAACATGAATTGTTTTAATAATTCATAATTCATATACCCATGAATAATTCACTTATCTCGTTTATATCCATCGTAATAATATTGCGCTTTTCGAATGAAGCGCTTCAGAATGAATAGTCTTATTAAGTGTTTTTGTGTTTTATTTTAGTCGGTTGTTTTTCCTGTCTGTGACATTTTTTTTCGCTGTGTGTTTTTGCTGTTGTTGTTGTTGTTGTTGTTGTGGTTTTTGTCTACGTTAATGGCGGTATGATAATTTGTTTATGGCTTTTTGTTATTGTAATTATTATTATTGTCATTATTGTTTATTGTTGTTGTTGTTGTTTGTTGTTGTTGTTGTTACTTGTTAATTTTTGCGGCCGTTAAATTGTTATTTATGGCTCTTAGCGCCTAGGAAAAAATTTCAGACAAAAGTTAGTCT